TATCAAATTTAAAGCTTCTGAGACATTATATGGAGTATATGTTATATGGTATAATTTTAGCTTCTGAGATGTTGTATGGATAATATTCGTTTTATGGTATATATGTACGTTGTTATTGATAAATTTACGCCGCTGAAGCTGTTGACGAGTTACCTTTTATTTTATAGATTTATACTGCAGTTAATTAGAACATATGATTTGGTGATTTTTTGAAATTTCATGAGCATGACGCGTGTTCACTCAAGAGTTACCTTGATTTGTATCGTTGATTTGAACTACTTCTGTTCTTCGATTCTTCACTCCTTATTTGGTAGCTTTTAAGAGCAAGATTAGATATTATAGACCCAATTTGAGTATGTAAGCCAACTCCGGTCACACTGTATATAATGAACTGAACATATAGCTCACAATTTACTTTCAAAAATTTGTTTGTTTTAATTTATTAGAATTGTGACGTGTTCGACTGATTAATAGAATCTTGTAGTTAAGTATGGTTTATGCGGTTTACTATTATAGATATAGTGAGTGGAATACACGATCTATCCGCTATACAACAATTCAATGCCTTGAACATAAGTTTACTAACATGGAGTGCAATAATTTTTTTCCTTAAGAAAGGTAGATGATGCATTTTCTATACGTTAGTTCCATATCAGCATCATTAATATTTTTCATTTTGGAGTAGCATAGAAATGAAATTTCTTCCTCTTGCATTATCCAGCTAGCTTGGCTGGAATTTCGTGCAGGTAAAATGCTTATGGACGGAACACGTGTACTCCCCGATCCTCGTAAAGGACTTGTTCGTATAGGAAGGGTACGGTTAAGTACAGCAATATTCTTGTCATTCATCCTTTTCATTTTCTCCAAAGACGAGAAGTAGTTTACATTCTTAGTGTAATCACCTTCCTCTATTTTTACAGGGAGAAGAAGGGTTAGTCCATTTTCAATGGCTTGACAGATCTGCAAATGTTGTTGAAGATGTATCCTAGTTTTTTATGTATATAGTTTTTTTTCGAATCCACCATCTCCATTTTTTATCTAATCTGTATTGGCCGGTAGTTATTCCCTAACGGAAGATGGATATAGGACCAAATTGTTTTTCCAGATGAGTCGGTTTTTGAAAAGGTACATCTCTTAAGTCTGAAGTATTGTTCATAGTTTTGTATATAACAATTTCCTTATTCATAAATTCCTAAATCTTTGGATCTCGTTTTTGTTTTATCTGTACTTTATCAGGTTAATCAGTCTTCTGGGAGGGTATACATCCTGAGGTTTCTTACAGATGACCGAAAGTTCTTCTTTTGGCTTCAGGTTAAGTCATTAGTTGGATTTTCTTTTGCACTATATGGTATGATAATATTCTAAAATTTCTGTACTGTATTGCTTGGATTGATTTTAGGAGCCCAAAGCTGAGAACGATATAGAGTTGTGCGATACTGTCAATTTCTACCTGAATACGCCTCTAGGTACTTGGACTGCTACTATATATGCAAAAAGTCATACATTTAAAATTCTTACTGTCATTTTTCATATCGTGTATCGTTGGTATTCACTGTTGGTTTATTAGGCTGGACCTGATTGCCGACTTGTATTTAACTTTTTGTTTGATCAACAGACCCACCCGACGAAGATGAAACTGATGTTTCAGTTCCTTTGCAGAACCCTGAAGTTATAGTTGAGGATGATATACTTTCTAGGTAAATTTAACAATGTGGAGAGCGTGTCATGATAATGGGGCAAATGGATAAGATCTTCCAGTAATCACATTTAAAATGAATATATACCGAAGACCGATATTCTTCCCCATTATTTACCTTTGTTATAGATAGTAAATGTATTCTATAGTAAATATAAGCTAATCAATCCTAGATATATGTAGAATATATTTACTATCTATAACAACCTCGTAAATGTTCCTCAATGCTTTTAGAAACTTGAGTTCATAAGAGAAAAACGATAATGTTGCCTTGCACATCACACACACACACACACACACACACACACACACACACATATATATATATATATATATATATATATATATATATATATATATATATATATATATATATATATTATTGCAAAAACTTGGTGGAATAATCCTGTAACTTTACTGTCATTTATACTTCCGCAGGGCAGGAAATTTTGTTGGACCAAGCACGGGTGTTGGAGCAACTAGTGATGTAACTTCTGCTGGACCTGTAAAGATGTCCGATCTGCAGCGAATACTAAGTAACATAGGATCTTCAGGTATTCTTGAATTCTTAGTGGAATGTGCTTAAAGTATTCTTGTTTTTATTTTTTTCGACCAATAACGTAAATTTTGTTTTCTGATGTAGATGAAGCAGGAGACCCAGATGCAGGTATGAGATTTCCTCTTTCAGAGACTTATAGCACATAACCTTCTTCTATTCTGTATTCTGCTAGGAAGCTGTGTTTAATTTGAGAAGTTGCACTTTGACTTTTTGAGTTTTAAATTAATGGAACTTGAAGTTAAATCACTCGATTATCTGAATTAAATTGATATGCGTGATCACACCATGTAACTGGTGGTATTTGATGATTATTGTATGGATTATTTCCAACTCGAAATTGTTCTGATATCCTTCCTGGTTATCATAGGCTTGGGATTAGGTGATATTTTGAAGCCAGAATTTATTTGGCCACTTATTGAAGAACTACTACCGTTAGATGAGCAGATGGTGACATTTTTACCTGAGGTAAGAAATTGACATCTGTCATTCCCTCAGTTACTGATTTTTTTGCTCCATTGTGAAGATTCCTCTGTGGTTACAGGGTACATGGACCGCCGAGGAGTTAATAGAATTGCTACAGAGTCCCCCATTCCGCCAACAACTTGATTCATTTACTTATGTGAGGCTCTACCTCTTCAGATTCTCTCTTTCTTTTTTTTTTTCTTTTTTTTATAAATATTTTTTATTTAATTTTCTGTTTTTGTTCTAGGTGCTGCGCACTGGACAGGTGGATCTCACTCAGTTTGGTATAGATCCTAGCAAATGTAAGCAATCAAAAATTTTCTACTTGGCTAGAATAGGACACACTTTGCAAAATTGTGGCATTTACGAAGAATTATATTGTGTTAGAAACTCACTTCAGCTGCATTAACTAGAAATATGATACTGGCGTGCTTAGTTACTCTTCCTCTGTTGGCTTCCAATGTACAAGTATTATGTAATTGTTCTGTCTGTATGACCAGTTGACTTAATTGTTTGCAGACAAGTTCACTGTTCCGTCGTTTCTTGAGGCCCTTGAAGATTCCGTTGCTGGATCCGGAGAGTCGGGGCAAGGAGGCAATGATGTAAAATCTCAAACTTGTCTTGGTAGTGATGCAATGGATGAAGGTCAATAGTGTAATATCACATCAGATACAGTCAGCTTTTAGTTTACTTTCAAGGTTCATGCTAGCCGTTGATCATTTAGATACACACTGATCTTGCTCTGTGCAATCTTATATCCCTGATTTGGGGAAAAGAGAAGCAACCAGTATAGCGTTTCTTTAGCTATATTACATTGTTTGGGTTGTGTGGATGAAGATATTATCATATTTTACGAAGTCAAAATTGATCACTTGACCCTACTTGTATTTGAGCAGAATCTTCGTTTTGTTGTAGGATGTGTGTTATTGAAATAGCTTTAGTACTGTTGGTGGATTTGTTTGGAAAGCGAAAAGATGATGAATATTTGAATCAATTCATTCCCTTAAAAGTAATGCATGCATACATTAATAGCCAATTCCGACCAAGCACTCTTACATGTACAGATTGAGGTTGCTCTTACAGTCCATATTCACGCGTGTATACAGTTGTTTTCTGTTTCATGATTTCAAGACCTTATTGAGATAAGCTCCGAGTGCCCATATCGGAAAAATGTTTCGATAAGCAGAGTAGCTTATCATACAGTTCTTGTTGAATACACCGATAATTTCCTGTTGTGGGAAATCTCCATTCTCCATTTGTGAATTAATCAGCACTTTAGCTGCACGGTGCAGTGGATTTGGATCCCGTTTCGCCTATTATGAAGAGTTAGATATATCAGTCAACGATATTATATTCTCTCATTACAATATTTACTTGCAGATTTAACATAAGACTTACTTGTCCTGCTTCAATAAGCGCCAGCATAGCCCATCCGGTGTTTACTATGTGCGATACATCTTTCCCAATATTTGTGTATACCTTTATATCATGTCATGCAACTGTGTATACCTTTATATCATGTCATGCAACTTTTAGTACATAAAATTAACAACCGACAATCGAGATATATATATATATATATATATATATATAAGTAGAGTCGTACGTATAAATGTATATACATACCTTGTCTTGGCTTGAAAGATAGCTTTCTCCCCATCCACCAGATGGAAGTTGCTTTGATAACAAGAATTCACAACCTTTTCTTACAGCTAAGCTGTTTTCGTAAGTCTTACCACCTTTGATTAGCCCTGTTATCCCAAACCATGTCCCGTAGGTGTAGCATACAGCCCATGATCCATACCTGTTAGTCACTAATTTAATTATATTTTTCCATTGAAATATAATCAATCTGTATTATATATACGGTAAAACAAAGGGACTTGCCATGAGCCGTCAGATAATTGTATGCTTTCGATGAAGTCAACTGCCTTGTCAATGCACGTGTCTATATCTTTTCTCCGGTAATTAGGGTACAGTTTGTTGAACTGCTTCAAACCTTGAATTGCTGCAGATGTGCATTCAACGTACCTATGTACACAGTTTTTTTTTATTTAATGTCAGAAAGCGTTAAAAGGTTTTGACGATTTAATAAAAAATGAAAAGTAAATAATAGTACTGGTAGTCGATGACGATATCTCCGAATGTTTCTGATGGATTAATCACCTGTTTCATGGATGGATATACATTCGGTTAATCTAAAAAACGCACTTTTTTGTTTCCCTCGTAATAAGTAAACACTGTGTGTGACCAGTGTGTTTTCAATTTATTCATTACCTCCAACCAAGCGTATGATCGTGTGAGCTCGTATGACGCAAAACCTCCATTACTATTCTGCACCAATAAAATGCCGATGATTTCAATTAAGAAATTTCCAATTTAATATATATGTAGAGCTACGTCAAATTAAGGTGCTCTGAGAAATATGTAAGACCTGAAGGGATAGAATCAAATCGACCGAATCGTATAGCTTATTTTGTTCTAATCCTTCTCCAGCAACCTCCAGCGGCAGCTCCGATAACATAACTGCAGCCTGCGTTTTAAGCAAATAAACATTTTTTTTTAAAAATCATTTCCCAATAAAAAATCCAGATGTGATTCATATGGTCTTAGGAAAATCATACCTTAAGACCTTCTGATGTACAATCTGAAACCGGCCAGCCATTGTCTGAAGTAGAAAACGGCCACCCGCCTTTACATCTGTGTCGATACCACAAACTCAAATCTCCTGCACTATCTTTTCTCATCTTCAAAATAGAAAAAGAAAAAAATTAATAAATAAATCAGATATACTAAATTAAATAAAATATATGATAGCAGAAATTTTTAAAACTCTCTTACTTGTGATATTTTGATGAATTGATGTGCCTTTTTAAGCATTAAACCGTATTCTTGAGGAAGGTTAGTTCCGACTATTGCTTGGACCGCGAAAACCGTGTCCCACAACTGACTCCCATTGTATCCCTGAAATAAAATTATCAGCATCAAAACTCAATAAACTTGCTTTAATTTTTTTTAAACTGAGATTAATTAGATATTCTGTATCTTTTTCTTATTACATTCATCTTCATGCCATCTTCAGCTACCCACAGATAATCCTTAATTCTTGAAAGATGTCGTTTTACAGCTGTCGAATTTGGATCGTTTATCCAGCAGCACAGCATGTTAAGTACCTGTTTTTATGACACAAGATATTATCTCTCATGCAAGATATATAAATAAGTTGAAGATTATTATTATTATTAGCCGACAAAAGAATGCAAAAACGAGGATTCCAATACCTTATTTACTGGTCCTAAACAGACATAATTAGAGTTTACATCATCGTACTCCATATGTTTCATCACAGTGGTTAGTGCTCTATTCCTCAGCTTAGAGAAAGGCCATTGCATAAGAAGAGGTTCTGCAAATTTGTCCAGACACTTCCACAAAACATCTTGTAATAATGGATGTGGGAAGTACAAATCCTCCTGCAACAGAATTAATTGTACAATCAATACTTCTAGAAGTATTTTTCCAAAATCAAGACAAGGATAACAAGTCTCTTATTACCTTGGAACATTGATTTCTGGCCAAATTCCAATCAATCTGATGGTAATCTTGATTATAAAGCTCTTTCCTGAGAGACAGAACAACGCTATTGATGGGCCCCACAAATCTTTTCCCGTATAAATACGACATGGGAAGATACACCATCCGAGCGTGACACCACATACGACCTACATAATACCAAAAAACCATATTAATCAACGTGTAAATAATATATACACAATATATATGTATAGTAGAGGACAGGGTCGAACAAAACCTGGATGAACGGGAAGAAAGTAAGGAAGAAGCCATATCTCTGGGGGTAGAGGGTTGTTGCCATCCCATTCGTACACGCCAAGAACCTATGTATACATATACATGCAAAATATGTTGGAAAAAAAACACTTCAAAAAATAACGGGTTATTAAAGTGTGCGTTGAGACTGTATATATATATTTACCGAGAGCCAACACTTTCCCCACGAAGGGGTGTAAGTAGCACCACCATGATCAAGAATCCATGTCCTGGCTTTGTGCATGGCTCCATCTCCACCGTCCATTTCTTGTCCTAGAAGCCTTAAGCTTACATAATTTAGGATCGTGCAAAACATGCTGCTCTGTGCTTCTATATGCAATCCCCACCCTCCATCAAGATTCTACATTCCATTAAATAATCTCATCAATATATACATATCAAAATAACATCAAATTAGATTAGTGTAATTAAACGAGAAGATTGGATCCGTACCTGATGGTTATATAGATAACGGCATATCTCTTTCGTGTGTTCTTCAGGGAGGACGGTTTTTAGAGCTTTCATAATATACAAAGATATAATCTGCAGTGTTTGAGATTCTTTTTAAGTTCATATTCTTTCATTTCCACACCCAATTTTCCATTTCTATTACTAATGAAAATAAAAAAAGAATAAACATGTTTTAGAGGTGGTGTAATAACAGAGTAGTTTAGTATTCTGACCAATCCTGGCAGAAGAAACAGAGGACCACCATAATCACCAGGCCAATGTCCATCTTCAGCCTGAAGAGTTGAGTAAAATCTCAGTGCCCTTTTCAATGTAATAACAACTTTTTCCTCTGTTACTTCTTCTTCACTTTCTACCTTCACCTGCTCCAAATCCACTGCCCCACAACCGTTCTCCTTCGCCAACTACACCAATCATCAAAACAAACCAATCAAAAACCTTAAATCTCACACACACAAAAAAAAAAAAAAAGAAACTTATTACTTAGTTTAAGGATGTTGCTGCAGTAATCACCTGAATTCGCATTAGGAGATCAGAACTTTGTTTGATTTCATAACGGCTATTACGAAAATCTGCACGAGCCTTTTCGATCAGAGCCTGTTCTTCAGGTGTACCTGTGATCAATGGATCAAATTCCCAGAACTGTCTTCCAGCATGATTATTGAAGCTTGCAAGACTTGGATCATTAATATCCCCTTGAGAAAATTTCAGTCTCCACATTTTGCTTACACTGTCTTCTTTCTTACCACCTTAATCCAACTCAACTGTTCTTTAAATCTTATGTCTACCTAAGATTGACAATTTACAAGACTGGTGGATAACAAAAAAGAATAGAAGATGTCACTTCGTACAGGATTAAGTTGGGTGGATATATATATGTACATACATGTATACATATTACATATATAGAAGTTTGGTCAAATAAATTCAACTTGCTCGAAAATATTATAATAGGAAAGGTCAATGCATCTTCCTTCAAAATCACTCATCAAACTTTTACATCTCGAGTTTGAGAACTCAATGAACCTCAACTTGAGAAGCTGCTAGTGGCTTTCTATTCTAACTTGATATGCTACAGCTACAGGTTGACAGTCAAAGTTGGGGGTATGAATTGATTTTTTTTCTCAACAACAAAGAAAAAATATATAATATATATATATATATATATATATATATATATATATATATATATATATATATATATATATAAACATGTGTGAATAAATGATAATATTGTTTCAAATCTTCAAATTCCAATATACCAACTTAACAATTAAACCATACCGATTATTTTAATATATGGATTGGCCTGTCAATCTCAATGATGATATACCAACTAAACCATAACAATTATTAGTATTATTATATTATTATGATTATAGTATTATTATAATATTAAGGGTAAATTACAAACACCCCCTGAGGTATGGTCAAATTACAAAAAACCCCTCTTGTTTGGATAATTACATCTACCCATCAATTATGATTTTTTCTTACACCTCCACCCTTATGGTGCCAAAATCAACATAATCATCTAGATTCCGTGAAATGTGCTCTAGTTTGTACTCGTTTTGTGTAAAAATACAGTTTCCGATGCACCACAAACTGATATATACAAGCTAAAAATCACATATTATGATCATCTTGCTTGATAATATAGAGTTTGAATGGGATAAAACGTGTAGAAAAGTGATAATATTCCATATAATCTCGAAGATTCCACTAAATTTGAGGAGTTGAGGGGGTGGTTGTAATTATCCAAACAGGAGAGGTGTTTTTGTAATTTGACCATACCTTTGGGGGTGTTTGTAATTTACCCTAATAATAATAATAATATAAGTACATGCGTAAAGTGAGGCACCATTGTATGTTTTGCAATGTACAGCTCCACTATCCATCCGCATGGCACTCGTTTCAAAGTTATCAATTATTAATTTATTTAAAGATGTTCACCTTTTCGAATAATAAAAATATAGGCACCAAAGCAGCCGTATCTCTTCGTCATTCGTCCAATATCTCCCTGCTATATTAAGCCAATGCCCAACAGATTATTGACTCTTTAATTAATAATAGAGTGTCTACAAAAATAACTGAAGTCGTAAACGACTATTACAGCCCACTTACCCACAAAATTGTAAACCCCTGAATTTCAAATAATTGAACTCGTAAATGACTATTATTACAACACACCTACCCAGAAAATGTAAACCCCAAACCTGACTCCCACGTGCGAAGAAGCCCCCAAATACCCCTAAGCAAAAGTCTTGATGAAGTCCGAAAATTTGAGCTTAAAATTCGATCCCTTTGCAAATAATTTTTAGGTCAAACTCGTCACCCAGACTTGTTTTGTTCAGTACATTTTACGTTTCTCATGTACTTTACATGCTATTGCACGACAGTGTAGTTTACTCAACGCACAACTGCAAGTTCCCGTAAAAACTTTTGGTAAATAATTGACTAGTGAGGACCAAACATGCAAACAGTAAACCAACTAGGCTTTAGCCTAATGGTATCGAGAGCATCTCCCATAGTGGTCTTTGGTGAGAAATCGGGGGTTCGAATCCCCTTGGGTGCGTGTGTACTGTTCGTTTAAAATTACGGGAAGGGAAAAAGACGTTTCTATGGAAAGTTTTCGTTACAAATAACCATCATTATTTTTTGTTAACGAAATAAGTACCTGTCAAACGGTGAGCATCATCAATCTATGATAGGAACCTGCCAAATATATAAAGTTGCGTAAAAATATAGACTAGTTGAAATAAAAATCTATTAAGAAATAACGAAGGTTGCAATCCTATCTATTTGTTTAGTGACATCTAAAGCTAGGCCAACCAAGCACATCAACAATTAAGTTATCTTTAATCTTGGTGCTGTCATATTCCCTTTATCTCCCTTCCCAATCACCACCACAAATTTTCCAGGACCAAATGATTGCCGTATACATAATTTGGTTCAGAAAAAGAATAATAAGTGACAAGATGAGTATTTGAATAAAATCTATCCCTAAAAAATAATGCATAAAAATAAACGACCCAACACGATTATATTTATAATTACATCTTAAAGAACACACAATTAGATCTTTCTTCAGTGCATATACATACAGTTTTGTTTTCATGCTTTCAAGACCTTGTTGAGGTAAACTCCAAGTGCCCATATCGGGAAAATGTTCCTGTAAGCCGAGTAGCTTATCATACAGTTTTTGTTGAAGACGCCCACAATTTCCTGTGAAATCATAAAGAACGGACAAATGTATAACTTTCTTGAACTCGGATTACGTGTGAGAAAAAAGAAAACGGTATACCTGTTGTGGGAAATCTCCATTCGCCATTTGGGAATTAATCAGTACTTTAGCAGCACGGTGAAGTGGATTGGGATCCCGTTTTGCCTATACCCCCATTGCAATGTTAACAAGGATATATTAGAAAACTATATGTTCTCATTACATTATTATCTTTTAATTTTCTTGCAGAACTATTCGTGTAAAGATCGATCACTTACTTGTCCTGCTTCGATAAGCGCCAGCATAGCCCATCCAGTGTTTACAATATGTGATACGTCTTTCCCAACGTTTGTGTATACCTTGTCTTGGCTTGAAAGATAGCTTTCTCCCCATCCACCCGAGGGAAGCTGCTTCGATAACAAAAATTCACAACCTTTTCTTACAGCTAAGCTATTTTCATATGTTTTACCACCAGTTATTAGTCCTGTTATCCCAAACCATGTCCCATAAGTGTAGCATACAGCCCAAGATCCATACCTATTATGAATCACCAGTTAGTTATATTTTCCATTGAAATTAATCAGTATTATTATATATAGTAAAACAAAGGGACTTGCCATGAGCCATCGGATAACTGCATGCTTTCAATGAAGTGAAGTGCCTCCTTGATGCACGCCTCTATGTTTTTCCTTCGATAACCCGGGTACAATTTGCTGAATTGTTTCAGACCTTGAATTGCAGCAGATGTGCATTCTACATACCTATGTTGACAGTTTTCTCGTTAAAAGGTGGACAATCACAACAATATACTACATATTTGGTTGTTAAGTTACTGTAAAATTAGTGAAGTAAATAGTTGGACTTACTGGTAGTCGATGATGATATCCCCGAATATTTCTGATGGATTAATCATCTGTTAATGGATATAAGTGACATTAATCTCAAAACATGTTTCTGTAAACACTGTGTGACTACTGTGTTTAGAATTTAGATCCATTCATTAATTACCTCCAACCAAGCATTCGATCGTGTGAGCTCATATGATGCAAAACCTCCACTACTATTCTGCGCCATTAGATACGGACAATGGAAAATAGAATTTTTTCCGTAAATCCAAGTTCGTATAAGAAATTCTATCTTTCGTAGTTAAAATTTGTAAAAAAAAAAGAAAATAAGTCTCATTTTGTGTGGAGTGGTTAGAGATAACACCTGAAGGGATAAAATCAAATCGACTGCATCATATAGCTTATTTTGTTCTAATGCTTGTCCAGCAATCTCGTATGGCAACTGCGATAGTATAAGAGCTGCCTGCATTAAAGGAAGGAACAGCTGTCGTCATTGAAATAGGAAACCATATGGTAAAAAGTTAAAACATTATGTACCCTGTTTCGGAATTTTCCCTTCATTTTCTTTCTAACCGAAAATTTTCATAATAAGCAATTTCACATAAATTCCGAAACAAGGTGCTACGAGTAAAAAGAATTGAATTGTTATTCATGCGATATTTGGAAGATTAAACCTTAAGGCCTTCTGCCGTACAATCTCCTGCTGCCCAGCCATTGTCTGCAGTAGAAAAGGGCCACCCTCCTTTAGAGCTGTGGCGATACCAACAACTTAAATCTCCTGAACTATCTTTACTCATCTTCAAAATACCAAAACAATATGATTAAAAAATAAACGAACGTGAAAAAATATAACATGTATTTTCACACTCTTACTTGTGACATTTTGATGAACTGGTGTGCCCTTTTAAGCATTAAATCATATTCTTGAGGAAGGTTGGTTCCGACAATTGCTTGAACAGCCAAAACTACATCCCACAACTGACTCCCATTATATCCCTGCCATAAAGTACCCACATCAAATTCAAGAACTATGTTCTGCCATAGGATAGTATAAAAGAACTGAGATTAGCTGTTCTGTATAAATTTTTATTACATTCATCTTCATGCCATCTTCAGCTACCCACAGATAATCTTTTATTCTTGAAAGGTGTCGTTTGACAGCTGTCGAATTTGGATCGTCTATCCAGCAGCACAGCATGTTCATTACCTGTTTTTACCGTGTTATACAAAAGTATGAAATCATTGACTGATTTCAGAAGCCATCAAAATTCATACAGCTCGTAATGAAAACAAGGATTTAATACCTTATTTACTGGTCCGATACAGAGATAATTAGTGTTTACATCTTCATATTCGATATGTTTCATCACAGTGCTTAATGCTCTATTCCTTAGCTTAGAGAAGGGCCATTTCATAACAAGAGGTTCTGCAAACTTGTGCAGACATTTCCACAAGATATCTTGTATGAGTGGATGTGGAAAGTATAAATCCTCCTGCAAGAAAATGGGTTACAGCTTACAACGAATACTACTAAAATTATTACAAAGATTAAACCGATTAAACAGATATGAAAGCAAGGACAAGTCTGTACCTTGGAACACTGGTTTCTGGCCAAATTCCAGTCAATCTGGTGATAAGCTTGATTATAGAGCTCTTTCCTAAGAGATAGAACAACTCCACTAATTGGCCCAATGAATCTCTTCCCATATAAATATGACATGGGCAGGTACACCATCCTACAGTGACACCACATACGCCCTACGAAAATACATTCACATATAAATACCCTTTTCTATTACCAAACTCCAAAACCATATAAATCACTAGAAAGATCCATCAGCTGCAATTGTTCAAAGCTTGTGAAATGGTAACTGCAAACTCCCAAATCAAGCAAATATGCACTAATCTTCTCAAGCACTTTCATGACTATGCACCACAGAAGTAAATAGGAACCAAATTAAAACAGAAGTGAACACCTGGATGAATGGGAAGAAAGTAAGGAAGAAGCCACAGCTCAGGGGGTAGAGGATTGTTTCCATCCCATTCGTACACGCCAAGAACCTATACACATGTTACAAAAAATACTTTCAAAAACGGGAAACTCAGTGTGTGTTGTACGTGCGTGCGTGTGTGTGTGTGTGTGTTAAGGCTATATTTACCGAGAGCCAGCACTTTCCCCATGAAGGAATATAGGTAGCACCACCATGATCAAGAATCCATGTTCTGGCTTTGTGCATTGCTCCATCTCCACCGTCCATTTCTTGTCCTAGAAGCCTTAAGCTTACATAATTTAGGACTGTGCAAAAGATGCTGCTGCGCCCTTCTATATGCAATCCCCACCCTCCATCGAGATTCTACACCTTGGTTAACTAACCTCATCAATATCAAACAGCCCGGAATTCTCACCTTGGCAAATGTAAATAAACGAGAAAAAACTACCTGATGGTTATAGAGATATCGACACATCTCTTTCTTATGCTCGTCCGTGATGATGGTTTTAACAGCATCCATTACAGACAAAGCTATCACCTGCAATGTTGAGATTCTTGCCTTTTTATATTCAAACACAATTTTCAGATTAAATACTTTCAAATCTCAATCAACTATACCTATCTATAACTGGAGGGGCGCTTCACTATCAACGGCGCTTCACTATCAACTATATATCTATCTAATATTATTACTATTTCAAAACCACATAATTTTAGTGAGACTTGCCAAATACAAATCATCATATTCAAATTAATTAGGGTTAAATCTAATTTGAACCTCTGTAGTACAGTCACTGTTGCATTCTCCTCTGCTGTATCCCCTGTTCTTCGAAATTGGAATATTTTGTACACTTTTACACCTTCAAACATCCATCTAATGTTGCACACTCACCTTTCAATTCCTTCCGTTCATCCTCTCAATTTTCCGCTTCAACTTCCAAAATCGCCGATCGTTACCTCTCTTCTCCCATCGACGCCTCCAACCTCCACCGACACCGCCACCGCCGCCGCCACCGCAGCGCCTCTCTCCACCATTTCACTCCTACTCCGGAAACGCCTTCCCCAACACCACTCTCGTTGTTCTCTCAGACATGAAACTGGATTACGGGCAGGCTCCATCGTTAAACCCCGAGTTGCAAATATCGAGCCGAGATTTAAAAACGAACGTCGCACTTTTGGAAGAAGAGGAAATCGAATTTGTGGAAATCAGTTCAGATAACAGTAACGCAATTACGGATTCAGATTTCCTGACGACGACGTCGTTTTTTAGCTAGGGCTTGTTTATCCGTAGCCTATGCATGTACTGTATATTTACATTAATTTATTATATATAATGAAGAATAGCTAATCGCAATTAGTAAAATATATAATTGCTAAAAAAATGTTAACTCTAGTAATTAGTGAAAACATAAACATGTCGGCAGAATTAATTAAAAAAATTAGCTGTAATGAGAAAAAAGTAATAATATATTCTGACCAATCCTGGAAGAAGAAACAACGGACCACCATAATCACCAGGCCAATGTCCATCTTCAGCCTGAAGAGTTGAGTAAAACCTAAGTGCCTTTCTCAATGTGTTCACCACTTTTTCCTCTCTACTTATTTCTTCTTCTTCTTCTTCTTCACTAATATGTTCATCACTCTTCTTCGCCAACTGAATTATTATAATCATTAATATTCATTAAAATCGTAAACCGGAAAATTCACCGAAAAAACAAACACATTTACAACTGACATCACCTGATTTCGCATAAGGAGATCGGAACTCTGTTTGATTTCGTAACGGCTATTGCGAAAATCTGCACGAGCCTTTTCGACGAGAGCATGTTGTTCGGGTGTACCGACGAATAACGGATCAAATTCCCAAAACTGTCGACCGACGTGATTATTGAAGCTCGTAAGGCATTCGTTATCATCATCGCCTTCAGAGAGTTTCAGTCTCCACATTTTGTTTTTTGTCCACTTGCTTTTCTTTCTTAGCTTTACCACCTTACCTTTAACTTATAAACTACTGTTATATATATACATATATATATATATAATAATAATAATAATAACAACAACAATAATAATAACAATAATAATAATAATAATAATAATAATAATAATAATAATAATAATAATAATAATAATGATATTCTTGTCTTGACCATATATTTAATTATTGCATATGCTCCAAATACTAAAATATGTGAGATTATAAGTCAATGCATCTTCAATCACACATAAAAAATATCCTTGAGCAAACCTAGGCTAAATAAGGTTCACTCTTTGGTTGCACAGAAATTCAGACAGCTACTGATTCTTCACCAGTCCACAAAACTAATTAATTGCACTGAAATTTATACATTAATTACGATGTGGCGATTATACGACCTCGATTTTTTATTACAATATAATATTGGGGTTTCAGCTCGTAAATCTCTTTTACCTAATATATCCATCAGAAATGTCTGGAACGCCCTTCGTTAATTAATTTGTTTTTTTTTTCTTCACCATAAAGTGAAGGGCATTTCAGACATTTGAAGGCATGTAGGAAGCTAATCGTAAAAATTATTGATCCAATCATTGATCTTGAAAGTCAGTATGTATTTTATAATGATTGTTATTTTTGCAGTCTGTGGATCTCAATGTTGATCGATCTACCTAACTAAACAAATAATTCATAACTAATTATTATAATAGATCAATTTAGATGACGTCATAAATTGTTTTCTGCAATTAGTAGTCTATTTTTATTACTTACAGTCAATATATTTATCTCAGTAAAAATAAATAATGCTACTGATTGATTCTGCATGTATATATAAAAGGGTACTTCTCAAATCTCAGCCAAGTAGGAAAAAATAAGTTCCTTTATTAAAAAAAAAAAGAAAAAGAAAAAGAAAAAGTAGAGCTGAACCAAAATGCAATAGTTTCAGAATAAATAATTAATAACAATAGAAAATTCAACATCCATTAGAGGATGATCTCTCAACCATCAAAGCATCTGGAGAAGGAGGTTCATAAAGATCACACTCCTTAGGAGGCTCACTTTTACTCCTTCCGTTATTCTTCGGCGTCTCGCCTTCTCTTTCGCTCTCGTTTTTCACCGACGGGTCACTACTTTCCTTCTTAGTCTCCTCGGGGGGGCATTTTCGTAATTCATACAGCGTCACGCTGCCGCCTCCATTCTGCAGAAGAACCGCCTCTTTGTCATTGGTTTCTTGATTCACGAGGGGTTCGAGTATCTCGATCACCTGACTCATGACGGGCCTCCCTTTAGGGTTTTGGCTGAGGCACTGGTACGCCAGGCTGGCGACCTTTATAAGAATCTTGGTGGAGTACTGACCCTCGATTCTTGGATCGAGGATTCTCAGAAGCTTCTTGTTGTGGTTGAGAAGCGGGCGGGCCCACTCCACCAGATTGTGCTCTCGGCTCGGCCTGCTCTTATCCATTGCCCGCCGCCCGATCAGCATTTCGAGCAGAACAACTCCGAACCCATAAACGTCACTTCTTGCTGTCAAATGTCCTGCACATTTTTGAAGATTAGACATGATTAATTAAAGAGATGTGACAAGTATCGTTTGTTTCGATTTCAAACGTGATTTTGGCCGTTTCGAGTCTGAATTTGGCGAAACTCAAAAACCACGGAAGTTGTTGTTCTTTCAGTTAGGTTTCTAATCCAACTTGAATCACCAAGATTGGATGTCAGGTGAGAGCGATATGCACGAATCAATGAACACTGCCCACAACTTTGATGTTCCAAGTAACGTCAAAATTCAAAATGTAATTGATCCGTACATAACTTTGTCACTCGACATTTCAGTTAATTAAACAACTTTAACTTTATTCAATGTTTGGTCAGTCCAATAACTTTTCGGGCCGGCCCGCAATTATGGAAAAATAGATCTACACTAATAAATAATCTCCCGCAATTATTGGGCCGGCCCGCAATTATTGGACCTCTCCTATGGTCCAATAATTTATCGATTTTTTTCACGAGATATTATTCAAACTAATCTTATCTTAGGAACCAAACGAGGCCTAACTAAATGTAGTTGCAATAAGACTCACCGGTCATGACATATTCAGGGGCAGCATAACCGTAAGTACCCATAACCCTGGTTGACACGTGGGTTTGATCTCCAGTGGGGCCCACCCTTGCTAGTCCGAAATCGGAAAGCTTTGCGTTGAAGTCCTGTTTAATTTCTATTCACTTTTAGCATTTTTTTTAATAATTTAAAAAGACTTTCATCATATTTGATGGATTATATAACTAACCGCGTCCAGCAAGATGTTCGAAGTCTTGAAATCTCGGTATATAATCGGTTTATCCACACCATGAAGAAAAGCAAGCCCTTTTGCAGCATCCAAAGCAATCTTCAATCTTTTATGCCACGTTAAAGTGGCGCGTACTCCTACAAAATAGCATGCAAGAAAACATAATATTTAAAAGACATTATTTATTGTCGATCATTTGCATAGGTAAATATCGGTTTTTAAGCTACTTACTCAAAAACAGGTGTTTCTCTAGACTACCAGATGCCATATATTCATAGACCAAAAGCCTGTGGTCGCCCTCGCAGCAATAACCGATCAGTTTCACCAAGTTAGAGTGTCGAAGTTGACCTAAATAATTGACTTCTGCCTGCAAATGAAGACCTCAAATGGTGAGCCAATTTGATTATCTTTTCTGCATTAAAAATAGTAATTTCTCCAGAATTTTCAACGGATGGTAAACAAATATATTTGCTTAAATAAAGGTAAGTCGTAATCATCCAATTATACTTAACAGCATATCAGCCTTCGGATGTTTGAGACCCATTTTTTTCAAGAAAATATGTAACTTAAAACTTAACAGAGCACAAACGGATTTTCAGACACAAGGAGAATCTCGAAACATCGACATCCATAATGTTTGGTCATTTAGGACTCGTTTGGTTTGCAAGAAAAGATTAGTCAAAATAAGATTATGCAATCTTATGAGAACCCAGTTGTATAATTGGACAAGGGGAGGTCCAATACACAAACCCCCACCAATAAGCAAAGATAAAAAGCTCATATTTTCATAATCGTGGGTAGGGCCCAGCCCGGCCTGGCCCCGGCCCGAGACGTTGCTATACTTATCAAACATCAAATAGTACCTAACTATTTAATTGATCATGGTTTATCTTACCAGCCAAACAAGGCCTTAGAGGGCTAATTGGATGCAAATTTATCTACCCTTTCAGAGAGAGAGAGTATACATGCCACTTGTAAAGAAAAAAAATCCCAGTTATACGAAATTACCAGCCATTCTCGATCCCCTTGTAAACCTTCAGGATCGAGCTCTTTAATTGCAACTTGTGTTGGCTTATACCCCATCCTCACGTTTTCATCTATAAACCCTTTATAGACGATGCCAAATCCACCCTCGCCAAGAACCTGATCCGGTCGAAAGTGCTTCGTTGCCAACTTCATCTCTTCGTACGTGAAAATATCAAGATCGCCATTCCCAGAACTTTGACGTAGATCCTTCACGTTTTTCGGAATTATCACAAATGCGTTCGAACCAGCACTTCCCCCTTTTACGTGAGACGCAGAATCTCCATGCACGCCTGATAAATATCGTTATAAAAGAAAGTAAGAAACAGTAATGTACAAATGGAATCGATACGTGTAAGAAGTTCGAGAGCACTCGATAGAAATGCAATTGTTTCGACGAAATCGTGTCTACTTTTACAAGTGAATAAGATCCCATTACAAAATAACTGGTGTCTGCCTTACACTAAATCTAAACAAATTTCTCCACACCACATTAACAATCAATATTCCATTATTGATGGTAAAACAAATATCTGAATGACGTCATATATTCCATCACTCTACTTAGATTATCAAATCATACACAAATCATCACTTAGTATTCTCAATTCCCACTAAAAATCACAAAATTGAAACCAAATCGAAACAATTAAAGATGATTAAAACAATGCGAGGGGAATAAAAATCAACGAACCGGGTTTATAAGTCGAATATTTTTTCTGCGATGGCAGTTGCCCATCTTCCTCGATACTCAAACAAGACCCCATTTCTTCACCAAACTTCACAGATTCACATTTCAATTAAAAAACAATTGGATTTACTTTCGGCACTGATTTAATCAATAGAAAACAAAACAACGAAAACCCCAAATGGGTCGGCGCAAAATGGAAAGGATTGCACCGGAATCTGATCAGGGTCGTCGGAATATTCCTCAAATAATGGAAATGCAGTTGCATAAAAATTATCTACAAAGAAGTGAGTTGTGGGGAACACTGACTCGGTTTGATTGATTGTAACGTTGGGTTTTTTGGAATTTGTAGAGTGACTCAGGCCAGTCAAGTATGATTGGCTTTCAAGAAAAAATTCCGAATCCAAACAAGGCGATTTGTCATCTGGTCTCTACAAGAACATTTGTTATTACCATAATACCCCTCCTAAACATCTACCAAGTAATAAAATAATAAACATTTGCTATAATAGTTTTTTTAATTGCAATAAAATAATAAACATTTATAAAGTTTATTATGGATTTCAGTTCTAATTATGTAGATTTGGATTTCTGAAATAGTTCAAATAGGAGGGGGCAATTTCGGAAAATATTTTCAGAAATTGGAATCTAGTTATGTTTTTTATCATTTGTCTGCATTTGTTAATCAATGAGTTGACCAGACCCCGTTACGCGCTTTTGCACCAGTACCACACGCTTTTAACGTTTCTTCTAAGTTGAAGTTGCTACATTAGATTTTTGTATCTCCATTAGTGTAATATATATTTTATATATTATACTCCATCTATTCCACAATAATTGTATCTTTTTTAAAATATTTTTGTTATTTATTACCTGTCACTTTAGATTCTCAATACTGCATTAAATGCATTTTTTCTGTTTTAACTTTATTAATGATACTCTAATCATTATTTTTCTCTTATAAATTATTAAATGATAAAGGCTATTTTAGTCATTTCTATATAATTTTTCTAAGATCAAGATATATTTATTGAGTTTCTTAATCTTTGTGAAAAGTGAAAAGAGACACTTATTTAAAAACGGAGAGAGTATATATTTAAACCTCTTTAAATTAATAGTCACTAGAATCACCCTGATTCTAATTGTTTACTCCACTTATATTAATTTAATTATTAGACACTAAAAGTTTCACACCCATATAATATTAGACCATTTTTTTTATAAGTCATATAGATTAGACATTGTAGTCAAAGTTTTGTAGATATATATATATATATATATATATATATATATATATATATATATATATATATATATATATATATTAATTAATAATAAATATATGTAAATAGTAGGTCTACGTTGATGACAGCGAGTACAAAGAAAAATATAATTGGATGTCGTTGTATTACTTTATTGCATTGGCTAGTGAGTAGTGATTGACTAGGTTTGTGAGTCAAAAAAGTACATAAAATTTATATTCATCATCTGCATGAACATTTACGATTGTTAGCTCATGCAAATATTTATATAATTACCCGCAAGGGTGGCCTAGCGGTTGGAGCAAGAGAGCTTGGGTCAATTGACCCAAGTTCGAATCCCCTTGCCAACGGTCGCTAGGTCGAGCTTGTCACACATGGTTAGCCTAGTGTGGTTTACATCTCTCGTATGGTTTGCAAGCTATTATACGAGAGTGTAGGTTTACCCAGTGCACCTATATGGTTGGCTGCGGGTTCCTGCATTACCAAAAAAAAAAAAAAAAAATAAAAATATTTATATAATTTATAAAAGTCTACACAAATTATAAAGTTTCTATATAACAAATTCATGAAATTATCTCTTGCTGAAAAAAGCCCATTCTAACAATGATTTTAGGCCCAATCATTTTTACTCGAATTGTAGACCCAATTGAAAAAAGAAATTAAGCCCATGTATCCCGAGCCCAAGATCTGTAATAGAAATTCCAAAATTAAAAATCCAAATCTTTTTTTCTCAATTGATTTGGGGGTTTATACTCAGTGACGATTTTGAAGCTTTGAGCGAATCAAACAATGGCGGACGAAGCAAACAGAACTGTAAGCAGTAGCAAACCCTTGTAAATCGACCCCCAAATTACACAATCTTTGACCCCCAATTTTTTTTTTGATATTAATTTTCAGGCATTTTTTGAAATCCAAGGTCGTATGATCGAGACCACCGCAAAACTGAAGCAGGTCAGTCACTGATTATATGATGAATTCAAAATCTTGTAACTATAAAGAAGAAGAAGAAGAAGAAGAAGAAGAAGAAGAAGAAGATGCAATAAGATGAATTAAAAATCATTTTTTTACAGGTTCAGACTCAGCTGCGGAACAAAGAAGGGGAAAAGAAGCGGGCTTACTTAACACTGGAGGAGCTCAAGCCATTAGCTGAAGATACAAATACTTACAAATCTATTGGCAGAACGTTAGTTTTCCAAATTGCTCAATTTTGCATTTTGGGTATTTAATTGTGTGTGCAAATCAGTAAGATATAGTTAATTAGGGTTTCTATATGTGAATTGATTTGGGGGCAGGTTTCTTTTGGAACCAAAGTCAGTTTTGATGGAAGAACAAGAGCAAAAGCTCAAGGATAGTGAAGCTGCTATTTCCTCTTTGCAGGTATGATTGGTTGAACTCTTAGTTGTTTTCAACTTGCAAATTATAATTTCATGAGCCAATCGTAATTCACATTAGTTGTGTGGGATGGGAATAGGGTACCCATTCAGCTCCAAACCCTAAGAAAGTCTCGCATTAATCGTGTAATTTCGATGTGATATATCGCATATGGGATCGTGAGATTTATGAACACACGACACTTTTTTTCGTCTCCCTAATCTAATGAGTGACTGCAAAACAGTGAACTTTGATGTGATATATCGCATATGGGATCGTGTGATTTCGCCTTTTACGACGAGAATTTAATCTGAGTTGAGGTGAGCTTGGTGTCAATTAAACACCTAATATAATAGCATTTGGAATTTAGATATACAATATAGCATTTGGTTGTGGTGTGTGAATGCCTGCCGAATACTACCTTGCTCCAAGTCATTTTCATGTCGGATTTCTACACGGACACACCACACATACTATTATGAGTTTGCCTCTGAAAGATGTTTTCGTTTGCTTTAACATCATTATAATCGAGATTCATACATAGCCAAGAAAGAATAAGATATTACATCTGGAAAAAAGTATATGCTAGAGCCTAGAAGGTTATAACCTACTTGCTTTGCTAATGAAATTGTTCTGGACTTGGAAGATTTTTTTCCGTATATTAACGGAGTTTAAATATATTTCAGACACGGTGTTGGTGGTGGTTTGTTTTAAACATCGTAACTTATGTTTAGTGATAATCGAAGCCCAACTATAAAACATGCTGATTGAAACCTCTCTTTATCAACTCTCTTCTCATCTCTCCTAATTACAAAGACATTCTCTCTAAGTCAACACGATAACCAACTCCCCTTCCCATTAAGAATTTGGACGGAAACCGATGATGTCAACAAAAATAATTAGCGAAATTTCCACTTTTGTCCCTTATATTTGTTAAACCAAAAGACCCTTCACTGCTTCACATTTATTCCATAGAATCTATAACTCGAAAATTTGTTTTTGGTTTGACAGACATCGAAGGAATACTTGGAAAAACACATGGCCGAGGTTGAGAACAACCTGAGGGAGCTTTTGCAGCAAGATCCGGGTCTTGCTCGTCAGATCATGGCCTTGTCTGTTTAACTATGGTTAAGCCCTTTCTCGTTTTTTGTTGCTGATTTTCCGGCATTCTTAACCACAGTGGCGATCGTTTGTTTTTCTTGGCTTTATTTTCATGTTCAACGTACGCAGTTGTTAAGGTATCAGTTAGTGTGCGTGTTTTCTGGGCATGCCTGTTTGTTTCCGGGCTCGACGGTTTTGCAATCTTCTTGATTATGGCTCACAACTCACATACAACATTGTTGGATTTGATAAGCATGTTTGTTTTAAGAAAACAGATTAAGAAATTTATTAAGTAGTTTTTATTTTTGACAAGAAAATTATTATATATATATATATATATATATATATATATATATATATATATATATATGAATATTATTTTTATTCAAATCATTTGTTATTGAATTACTGTTTGAACGAGTCCCTCAAAAAATAAAATTATGAGTAATAAATAAGGGCAAATACGAAAAATAAAAATTTAATATTGATATTTTAAAGCGACTTCTTTAAGCAACGATTACGACGGATGGAGTAATAATTAGTTAATTACGCAATCGCTTATTCTTAAAACAACAAATAAGTTGAGAATTCATATTTTTTGTTATAGCAAATTCATAATAAATATTGGTGTAACATCCCTCTCAAAAGGGCAACAATCAAACATAAAAATTGGACCCTAACTAGCATTAGTAGGTATGTCTTATTCTTGTGAAAATTTGCATAATTAGATGACAATGGGAAATTTGGTAGTTATGCTCATATGTTGAAACATTATCTTTTTGTTTGCACTAATTGTTATTTTTTATAAATTTAATAATGACTAAATTTGCTTTTAAGCGACACGTTAATAATTATTTACACGTTTATTTGGATCAAATAGTTTGAGGTGGTGATAACAAACAAAAAAATGCAGGAGCATTTGATGTTTCTTTTGCGGTCGGTTTTGTTAAATCCATCTTGTAAATTTTTAAAAAAAAAAAAAAAAAAAAAAAATTGCACTGGGCGCCCAACTCGGGCGCCCAAATGCAGCTTGCACGCCCAACTTGGGCGTGCACTGCATAAATGGGCGCTCAAGTTGGGCTTTTAAGCGTTTTGGGGGGGTTTTTGAATTTTTTTGGAAAGTTTTGGGGTTTTAGTGAAATAAAATGTTTTTTGGGGGGTTTTGTCAAAAACCGCAAATAGCAATTTTCAAACCGCAAAAAGCAATTCCCTTAATTTATCACATTTCATTTTATTAACAAATTAATAAACTCAAATGAAATTTTCAACTATTTTACAAAACAAATATAAGTTCAATAAAATAAAATAAAAATTGAAACGAAAAGTTAAAACAACTTATTTTAAAAGAAGCAAAAGACAAAAACTATATCAAAAAACCCTACGTGCGATGAAAGAAGAACCGATCCAACTCGACGAAAATGAAAACCGACCCGATTAAATATCCTTACATATGTTTGGTAAAATTAAGTTATGTGACAAGTAGTTGACAAAGTCAACTCAGATATCAGGCTATTTAGATTTTAGAAGACCTGCTATTGGCCTAACAAGTATGTCCAACATTCGGCTTATGTAATTCAGTTGAAATTCCATTTTGATCACATTCTTTACCAAATTCAGCATTAACGAATTTCAAAATTTTATCTATCTATACTTGCAAATTTTATTATATTTTATAATTAAATATACCACCTAGTAATAATATAATACTTTTCATGAAATTGTTTTACAAAATTCAATTCATACTTACCAAAACGACGTCTAACGTATCGCTATCCAATTATTTGCGTCACTACATCAGTAGAACATTCATGTGACGATATATATTTATATTTAAGGATTTTATAGAGTATTTATAATTATTAAATAATTATGTAACACTACTAATATTGAAAAAAGAAAATAATCAACCAATTATTGTTATTGTTATTAAGGACAAATTGTGGAATCTTTTGGTATTTAAAGTTAAGTCAGCTGCATTTTTTTTCCTTAGTTTCATAATTTATCTTTTAGTTTCATAATTCTTTATCGTCCCACTTTGTTCATACTTAGACAGCGAAATCAAATGGAAAATCGAACATCTAAGTTCTTGTATCTGATAAGTTGTTAATTCTTATTTTTAAATTTAATTTTTAGAGTGTTTGAATAATGAGCTTATGAGTTAATGTTACTCATAATAAATAAAAAGATGAGGTAGAGATAATTAAAAAAAAATATCATTTGCTCCTTAACAGCTTATTTTTTGAATTTTTAAAATTGATTATAAATTTGAGGCATTTGGTGATAGTTGGGATTAAGTTATTATGATACGGTAATTTGCATCCACCTCTTAAACAATAATCATTTGACAAAAAGAGAAAAAAAAAAGTGAAAAATAATTAAATAATAGGATAAGTTACCCTATTATTTTAATTATATAAAATCCAAAAAAAAACCGGACCCGGTCCACAGAATGCTGTAGTTTGCAATTTCCATATGCAAAATTCCAAGTTGGAATGATTCATAAATGTGTTTCACACAAAGAAGATAGCCAAAAGCAGGTAAAGAAAAAGGCAAAAACAAGCACACAAATATATATATACCTACTTTGATTTCTTCACAGTTGAAAATAAGCTACCATATCTTGACTTTTTACTTCATTTATTCCCACTTCTAATTTCTTCACTCTCTCTCTCTCTCTCTCTCTCTCTCTCTCTCTCTCTCTCTAATTCTATATATACCTATCAAAGTTTCAAATACTATCACACACACACACCAATTAACAACAATGGAGGTCTTCTACGCCTCTCTCCTCTGCCTCTTTGTCTCCTTTGTGTTCCTCTCTCTCCACCTCCTCTTCTACAAGACCAAACCCGCCGGAACCCTACCCCCTGGCCGGACTGGATGGCCGGTGATCGGAGAGAGCCTCGAGTTCCTCTCCACCGGCTGGAAGGGCCACCCGGAAAAGTTCATATTCGACCGCATGGCCAAATACTCCATCCATATTTTCCGAACTCACCTCCTCGGCGAGCAAGCCGCCGTCCTCTGCGGCGCCGCCGGCAACAAATTCCTTTTCTCCAATGAGAACAAGCTCGTACAAGCATGGTGGCCGAGCTCCGTCGACAAAATATTCCCATCCTCCGCCCAATCTTCCTCCAAGGAAGAAGCCATTAAAATGCGAAAAATGCTCCCAAATTTCTTCAAACCTGAAGCCCTGCATAGGTACGTCGGAGTAATGGACCACATCGCGCAGCGTCACTTCTCCGACGGGTGGGAAAACCGAGACGAGGTTGTGGTGTTCCCACTTGCCAAGAACTACACTTTCTGGCTCGCATGTCGGCTTTTCGTCAGCATCGAGGATCCTTCGCACGTGGAGAAGTTCGCCGAGCCGTTCAACCTATTGGCCGCCGGCTTGATCTCGATCCCGGTGGATTTGCCGGGACGCCGTTCAGTAAGGGGATAAAGGCGTCGAATTACGTGAGGAAGGAGCTCGTCAAGATCATCAAGCAGCGGAAAGTTGACTTGGCGGAGGGGAAAGCTTCCCCCACGCAGGATATACTATCGCATATGCTTTTGGCTAGCGACGAAAACGGCAAGTTCATGCAGGAGTTGGATATCGCCGACAAGATCCTAGGTTTACTTATCGGTGGCCACGATACTGCTAGCTCTGCTTGTACTTTTATCGTCAAGTACCTCGCCGAGTTGCCTGAAATCTACGACGGTGTCTACAAAGGTATATACATATATCATATGATATATATATATATATATATCTTAAGATAAAAACCCTTTTTTGTTTTACATATGTTTTGTCTGATATGTGTACGTGTGTGTATATATATAGAACAAATGGAGATAGCAAAAACGAAAGGTCCCGGTGAATTGCTGAATTGGGAGGATTTGCAGAAGATGAAATACTCGTGGAACGTGGCTTGCGAAGTACTTAGACTTGCACCGCCTCTACAAGGAGCTTTTAGAGAAGCCATTGCTGATTTTGCATACAACGGTTTCTCCATTCCCAAGGGCTGGAAGGTACGTACTCTCTCCGTTTCATATTAACTGTTATCCTCGAATATTGCAATATTGATATTTTGAGCAATATTGCATTAAAAAAAATATTTCACTAGAAAGATTTCCTTCTTATTTGGCCTTGTTGATTTTTGTTTAGAAATAGGGAGTAATTAATAAACTAAAAAAACAATAGTTAAAAATTAAAGGGTAATTTAGTAATTAATTTTCTTGCTTTTGAAAGTTGATAACTAATCCGAATCTAATTTCTATACTGGATCAGCTATACTGGAGTGCGAATTCGACGCACAAGAACCCGGAATTCTTTCCGGAGCCACAAAAATTCGATCCGTCTAGGTTCGAAGGATCGGGACCCGCTCCGTACACGTTCGTACCGTTCGGCGGAGGGCCGAGAATGTGTCCGGGAAAGGAGTACGCACGTTTGGAAATACTGGTGTTCATGCACCACCTAGTGAAAAGGTTCAAGTGGGAGAAAGTTATTCCCGATGAGAAAATTGTGGTTGATCCGATGCCTATTCCTGCCAAGGGTCTTCCCGTTCGACTCTACCCTCACACTACTACAATTACAGCTTAATTAATTATTCTTATATGTGTTAATTAAAAATTAAAGTACTGCATATTATATTCCCTCCTTAATTGTGGCCCAGCAAGTAAAGAAATTGTAAGCCCATTGGATTGGCCCAATTAGGCATATCAATATATTTCATATATTAATAAGGTAAAAATCGAAAACAATTCTGGCTACCACATTTGTAAATTATAGCTATGCTTTGAGTTCTGAATCATGGGACAGTGTGTGTCTGTATAATATCGCTCTCTCTATATATACTTTTTTCGCGTTTTTTTTATTTATTTAAATATGTGTAACGTCGAGATGTTGTTGTTTATTAATATTACTCTTTCAGCGAAATGAATATATTTGAATGAAGGAAAAGTATTTGTATTTAGACGTAATCGTGATTAATTGGGTAATTGGCACTTCGCACCCTCAAATTACATCTCATTGGCACTTTGCACCCTTAAATTAGAAAAATGGCAGAATGCACCTCCAATTAGAATTTCTTTGGCACTTTGCACCCTCATTCATATTTTGCCTAAAAAATGACCGGTTATCTGTTTGTGGGTTTTGAAGAATGGTAGATTTTTATTTCTTTTATTTTGTCATAAATTTAAAAACCTTTCATCATGTAACAATCATATTCATCATTTTACCCATGTTCTCAATTCGACCCCATTTTCTTCATGCTGAAAACAATAAAACAATCGAAAGCAAAATATTTTTAATAAGCAAAGAAGCAAGTGTGGAGCTTTTTGTTTCATTTTATAGTCTAGTCCTCAACACAAGGCAGACAACAACACGGCTGAACCAGACAATCGAAAAAATCCAAATCACCGGAAGGAGCGCCGACGACCACGAAATCAACCCAAAACGTATACCATCATAACTTGGCGATTCCATTCCCACGGAGGCGATGCGTAGCCTTCTCATTCTCAAACCTCACGTTATCAAACACTCCCCATTCCGTATTGTAAATTTCAGACAGGTTTTTTCTAACTTTACCGACAAGTTAACTATATAGTTGAAGTCGTCTGGATTTTTTCTTCGATTCAGAATATAATTTTTGGAAAAATGTAAACAGAGCCCGATAAAAGAGGGAGGATCGGAGAATCAAAGAGAAAGGAAATTGCCGGGAGAAAATGGAAGGGTTAAGGGAAGAAAATAGAGAACATGGGTTAAATAATGAATCAAATTATTAGACGATAAACGATTTTTTAATTTTTGAAGAAAATAAAAGAAAGATAAATCTACATCTCTTCAAATTCCACATAACAGGTTACCGGTCATTTTTTAGGCAAAATATGAACTAGGGTGCAAAGTGCCAAAGAAATTCTAATTAGAGGATGCATTCTGCCATTTTTCCAATTTAAGGATGCAAAGTGCCAATGATATGTAATTTAAGAGTGCAAAGTGCCAATTACCCTGATTAATTAGTCAATTTTAGTGAGCTGTGTTTTGGTATATTGCATGATTACGTTTCACACTTGAAGTGATAGACAAGATAATTCTCATAGTTTGGACGACTAAGTAAAATACACCGAATATATTATTATTATTTATTCACATACTGACATATACCTTTTAGGTTGAGTTCGTCGCACAGGACTTGGTGAGTGAAATTTACATTTTTTTGTGTAGTGGCGGGCTATTGCACAAGACCGAGTTTACTTAATGCATACGGCTCCATCCCGTGTAAGTATTCAAATAAAATAGAAGGTGAAACAAAAGAATATTGTACCCTAGGATCTTGACATGAATGAATAATATAATATATATATCACACACCACCTCTTTCACATCTTTTACGTGTGCTTATCTTACCATACGCCAACCTCAATACCAGATTTTATTAATGTTCCACTCCTCACACAAAGACTATTTTTCTTCATACAAACTCTGCAGCTATGCTCAATATCCCAATTTACACCTAACTAAACATGGACTTAATCTCTGCAACTTTTTTCACCCTCACCGCCCTCTTGGTTTCCTTCTGCCTCCACTTCCTTCTCCACATAATCAAATACACTGTCGGTAGCGGCAGTGGTGGCGGCGTGGCCTCACTTCCGCCGGGGAAAACAGGTTGGCCGGTGATCGGAGAGAGCCTCGAATTCCTTTCCACAGGGTGGAAAGGCCACCCGGAAAAATTCGTATTCGACCGCATGGCTAAATACTCCTCACAGGTATTCCGAACCCATCTTCTGGGCGAGAAGGCCGCAGTTTTCTGCGGCGCGAACGGCAACAAATTCTTATTTTCGAACGAGAACAAGCTCGTCCAATCATGGTGGCCCGTTTCGGTCAACAAAGTCTTCCCTTCTTCAACCCAAACTTCCTCCAAAGAAGAAGCCATCAGAATGAGGAAAATGCTCCCCAATTTCCTCAAACCAGAGGCCCTTCGAAGGTACATAGGCACAATGGATCGTATAGCACAACGCCACTTCACCGACCAATGGGAAAACAAGAAAGAAATAATAGTTTTCGACCTAGCAAAGAGCTACACGTTCTGGCTTGCCTGTAGGGTTTTTTTAAGTGTTGAAGATCCAAAACACGTGGCTAGATTTGCAGACCCTTTCAATGCATTGGCATCTGGTTTGATCGGGATTCCAGTGGACTTGCCGTGGACCCCGTTCAATAGAGCCATAAAGGCGTCCAAGTATATAAGGAAGGAGCTTGTTTTGATTATCAGGCGAAGGAAAATAGAGCTGGCGGAGGGGGAGGCTTTGCCTAGCCAAGATATACTATCGCACATGCTCGTGACAGGAGATGAAGATGGCAAGTTTATGGATGAGATGGAAATTGCCGACAAGATTTTGGGTTTGCTTGTCGGAGGCCATGACACAGCTAGCTCTACGTGTACTTTGATCGTCAAGTATCTGGCGGAGCTGCCTGAGATTTACGTTGGAGTCTACAACGGTAACTTATATATATATATATATATATATAGACCTCCATGATGTGCAATGTTTATGAAACATTAGAGTTAATCAGGATGTTATTTTTATTTTATTTTTAATAAAATAGAGCAAATGGAAATTGCGAACGGGAAAACTCCAGGCGAGCTCCTCAACTGGGATGACATTCAGAAGATGAAATATTCATGGAATGTGGCCTGTGAAGTATTGAGGCTCTCACCACCTCTCCAGGGAGCTTTCAGAGAAGCTCTAGCAGATTTCGTGTACAATGGCTTCTCGATCCCAAAGGGATGGAAGGTAATTAAGTAATTATTAATTACCTCCGGTATATTAATTAGATGTCCATCTTGTTGATGTTTTTGCGACATATACGTATGTATATATTATACTGATGGTGCAGATATATTGGAGCGCAAGTTCAACTCACAGAAATCCAGAAATTTTCCCCGAACCTGAGAAATTGGATCCATCAAGATTCGAGGGAACAGGGCCAGCTCCATATACATTTGTTCCGTTTGGAGGGGGCCCGAGAATGTGCCCCGGAAAAGAATATGCTAGACTTGAAATACTAGTGTTTATGCATCATCTTGTCAAGAGATTTAGGTGCGAGAAAATTATACCCGACGAGAAAATCGTGGTCAATCCTATGCCCATTCCAGCTAAGGGGCTGCCTGTTCGTCTTTATCCCCACAAAGCTTGACAAAACTGCTTTCTCCTGTAACCTTCCCTTGCTCTAAATATTAATTTAGAAAATTGTACAAGAAAAAGAAAAAGGTTGAGATCACACGTCTGATGCCGATGTGTGTATTTATCAGCTCTAGTAATTTCCCCGAACCTTAAGGAATTCTTCATAATTTCTAATGTTCTTTATATCTGTAAGTGACTAACCAAAAAGAAAACGAACAGCAAATGGTAATAGTGCTGAAGGGTTTCTATATTCTACGTACAACACAAACACAAAATGCATGATGGCCTCATTTAATAAACATAATTCGGGTTCCGTGAGAGCATGTATGAGTAAGAATAAGGTTAAACAAAAAAATACAATACAAAATAGAGCAGAGTCAAAAGTCAAACCAACGGGATGTGACTATGCAATAAATAACGGTAAATGGACGTACCCGTTGAACGCCTCAGCTATACTCCTTTAGATGTTAAAGTGATCTACGCTGATAATAAACACACATACAGACAGACACACAGTAAATCAGACTTTACCCCCCCCTATGTATTGTTCCAACAATCTGTAATAGCAGAGTTGGTTTGTGTACTTTAAGGTTTTATATGCAAGACCGACCGCCTTTGTCAGCATCAAGATGTACTAACATACAGCACAGGAACCAGCCCTGCCATCTTCCCATCTCTTCCTGGTCGTTTCTTCTTCACCTGTACAGCTGAACATATTAGCAAACCAAACACAGGCAACAGACTAAAAGGAGAAATTTTAGCCAATTGAGAAATGGTATTTGAGATAGTTTAGATCTTATATTATAATTTTCTTGAGAGAAATTCACCAACTTGCGTCATACTTACATAAAACCAGCCATCTACTTCGTCCTCAATTTCAAGTTCTTCACCAGCCGTGAGATTTAGCTGCAGAAACACAAAGCTTTAAATGTTATTCACATGCTAAAAAAACAAATAAAATTTAAAACACCTCCAAGAAAGTGCAATGTAGATATGAAAACAGAGAATTTAGCCACTGCTTAGTATTCCGTGATTAACTGACTCAAACTTGAGCTCAAGTTCAAAATAGACGAAATTATACTCATTCACCTCATCATCGCCACCAGCAGTGAAGTCATAAAGTGCCGACCCAAACTGTGGATTGCTTGAAGAGGGCCGTCTTTCTTCAAAACTTTGGGAACCAGAGCCAGCTAAGGGATTTTCGAAGGACTCGTATCTTTGATGATCAGGTGATGAATATGGAGGAGGTTCTTCCCTTATCTGCAAGAAATCCTTCATTAGATTCTTTTTCACTTTTTAACCAATTAAAATTTTGATAAAGAGGTTCAGAATATTGACCGGGGAACCAGGAGCCTCATATGCACTATATCTACTTCCACTTTGCCTTTCCTGCATAGTCAATTCAAAAGTGTCATATCTTGTCCAAGCATATTTAAAGGCAGGAACCAATGCAAGTGTGGCACTTTATGACATAGTATCCTTTTGTAAAAAAAAAGAACATAATTAATTTCCTTAACCGGAAGAGAAATAACATGTAGACAATATTTTGGTCAATGTAAGCAGGGTATAAAAACTAAGATGCAGAAATTTTGACAGGATTCTGGAAATTACTGTTAAGGAAAGGCAGGCTCAAATGCCAACACAACAATTAGTTGGCGGAAGCAAATTGATGGATATTTTTCCATACCTTGGATTGTGAGGAGACATTTGAAGATGGTTTTGAACTGAACAACGATGGATAATTCATTCCCCCAAAGTGGGAGGATATGGATGTCTCAACGGATCCAATTGAATCTGGGGATGAAGACCCAGATGATCTGGCATCATATTCCTGCAGAAGGGAACCCATATTTAACAAAAGTTGCCGACCATGAAGGATTTAAGAGCCCAAGGTAACACGCAATCAGAACTACAAACCTCCATTTCTGTTGTTTCCAAGAGAGTCTTTGCCCACATATCATCGTAACTCATAGAAGGTCTGGAAATAATGTTCTCTTCCTCAACATCAGGGGCATCGGTACCAGCACCAGCTAGAAATTCATTGACCTAATGTGCAACAAATACAGAAAGAACGAACCAAACATTAGTATAACAAGAAGAAAGTTAGTTCCACTGAGGGCTTGACAGATACATCCCAGACAAAGACGTTTGAGAAGGCTTTTAGCTTTATAAGGATTGTTAGATTGGTTCTCTATTCCCACAGATAAAGCTCTCCATCCCCCAACCCCTTCTGCAAATACTCGACCAAATATAAGATATCACTATCCATATCAGCATTTCCAGGGTTCAGATTACAGCATTTCGAACAAATGACAAGAAAAGGACCTACTGAAAAATACTAACTCTGCAAACATCTTTTTTTCTGAATAGATAACGTAGTTCTCTTAAAAATCCTTAACACCATTACAGCATCATATTTGCACATATTACTGAAGAACTAATCAATAAAATTTACCAAAAGAATATGGTTGGTAGTAGGGTTGATTGATTCTTACCCTGTTCATGGCAGGTGCACCATCATCGCCAAGATTTGCAGCCCAAAAGTTAACAAGGTCATCATCAAGATCATCTGGCTCAGCAGACTTGGTTTTGGTAGTTTCATAAATAAGATCAGAAACCCTTGATTTGGAAGTTTCATACATAAGGTCAGAGATCCCTGTGGCAACGGCAGGATCATTGAGGCCCGTTGATGCACTTATGTTATGCCGAGTACGATAGATGTCAATGAGTTTAGCACTGTTGCAATTGTAAAATCAAATCAAATGAGAAATAGTGAGATCGACTTTTTCTCCCAAACGAGTCTTATGTCAATAAGATGAAAAAGTACAGACAGGAAAGGAGGAAATATAACTGTGTCAAATGACATCTGCTTATTGCGAATTAATCCAAGTAGAGTTGCGAATTAATCCAAGTAGAGTGAGAATGACAACTGATGGCACAAAGAAAAGATTCATCCACTTCCAACACATGATGATGATGATGATCATCACCATCATCATCATCATCATCATCATCATCATCATCATCATCATCATCATCATCATCATCATCATCATCACCATTATTATTATTATATGACACTGACATCAGTATGGTAAAAATAACATTATGACAACATCATTAAAGTAACTTATCTTAGGGATGACAGAATTTATTTACTGAAAGATGCTTGACCTTAAATTCTCAAGAACATCATGAACTATTTTGTAGGAAATAGTAGATACTTGAACATTCAGTCTGATACACTAAATTTCATTTCCTTGTGGGTGAAAAAGAAGTCAATGTAGTTGCCCTTAAAGTTTTCGACGGTCTTTAAATGCATTGTTCCATAGTTCTTATTTGTAAATTGAATTTTAATAATATAAGATTGATCTTTCAGATGAAAAATTAAAATTCAAGATCATCAGCTGCAAAGTGAAGCAGAGCATGAAAAAAAGCAAGTACCTTGTTGGCCCTAAAGGTAGATATTTTGCTCTTGGAACATAACAAAAGAGTGAGACAAGATCTAACAGCCTCTCATGAGTCTCATAGAGCTTTTTTAGTTCCTCATCTGTCCATTCCTTTTTGGCATTGTCATGATTGCGCATCTCCCTGAACATTCAAGAGCAGAAATAAAATTTAGAATTATTTTTTTATCAAAATAGTCGAAGCTGAAGGAGTAACGAATTTTTATTTCCTTACTTTATGAGTTCATCTTGTGCACTATACATTTCATCTAGGACTTTCAACATAGGACTTATTAAAGATCCAAGGCCTGTTCCACTTGCTCCCTGATCTTCACCATTACTAGTATGCATATCTGAAAACTGAGACTGTACACCACCTTGAGCCAAAGTATGCAAAAATTCATAGATCTGTAGCCTATAAGGCTCACCAGATCTAATTGCCATTGTTGTAAGAGCTTGAGCGGCAATGATACGAATCTGGAACAACCAATCAGCAAAAGCAAAAAAACAGAAATGGTTACCGTAGGATTACTTTGTATGGATTTTGATGATGACAACAACCAAGACATGCCAAATGAAAAACAAGGTCTAAAATACACACCTCCCAGCTACCACTGAAAGCACACCTTTGGAGTCGAGTCAGAGCACCAGCTAGTGTAGGATTACGTGAGCTGGCAGCAGCAACCATTTTGTCTGCATCCAACATCATTAATGCAGTGCCAGGTGGGGTTGCGGACTCCCAAGCATACTCAGAAGCAGCATAATTTGCATTTTCTCCAAGGAACCAAACCTACATGTAGCCCAGGTTAGCAACCCACATATTGGCTGATATTAGACAAATGTACGAACATGAAATTGCAAGATGATATAAATGGAGAGTATGACTTACTGCTGCTTGAACCAATCTCTGCAAAGCAAGCGCTGACTTTGGATCAGATGCAGATACCTTATCAATTGAGGTCAGTCCCGAGATTGAGCCAGGTTGAGGGGGTGGCAGATCCAGAACTATTGTTACAGCTTCCAGAGCTGTGTGTTTTCCATCAGGTCCAGCTCCAACCAAACAAGTCTAAGAAACATAAAAGTTTAAGGCGAGGAAGTGAAGATAAAGATTAAGCAGCAACAACAACAATAAGCTACACTTACTTTCCACAGAAGTTGAAGCACATCAGCATCAATCTTTCCTGGAACTTTAGTAGCAAATACTCTAGCAATCTCAAGAAGAGTGACTGCCATATCTGGTGTAGCCTAATAAGCAATAAAAGAGCAAGGGGAGGTAAGACCACAGCACATGCATATTCTTGAGTACAATGAGAATGCAAGTGCCAACTACATGATTCATGATTCAACTCATCAAACCATAAACGAGAAAAAATAAAGTGACAAAAAGGATTAACTGTATGATTCTCACATCCTGAATACCTTGAAACGAGCATGCAATGTGAGCAATATATCGTTCAATAAAGTTGCTGGCCAAGATGGATCAGACAGTTCTGATGCAATGATGGACTCCAGTTCATCGAAAGAATCATGTGGACTTTGCATCCATATCAGCGCTTTAATCACCATTGCACGCACATAAACACATTCACATGCAACAGTTGTTCGAACAACCTCCATTAGTGAAGCCAACAAACTTGCAACTGTATCCTTCGAACCCATCCCACTAGATATTGAGGGAACTCTACGAATACCTAGCAGCAATAGACGGAAACAGAAAAGGGAGAAAAAGAATCAACCAATCATCCAGCCATATCTTAAATGTACAAAGTAAAATTGATGAAGTATACATGCTTCAATGCATTAATACGTAGTGCAGATTCCTTCTTTAAAATGAAAAGTCTGTCGCATAGCACAAAATGAGTCATGCATAAAAACAGCATCAGTGTCTCCAGCAGGGACATAGGTTGGCCATAAATTTGATCATGATGTTTTGCAAATGACTGGTCGATATTAAATCACAACAAAATATCACAGTCAACTAGCTAACATACCACGGGAAACATCTTATAAGCATTATATGCATACACTTTGAAACGGACATTGTAACCAGTGTTGTGACCAATAACAGGAAATCATTATCAGTACCTTCAGATGGCGCTGTTGGATTTATATCTGGATCGTATGAGTCATTTTTTTCAGAAAAAGTATTAACTTCAGCTGCTTCGTCAATATCCTGTAAACCTAATGCAAAAGCAGCAGCACGACTTTTTCCCATCTCCTGTACAACCCTTGCCGCTGCATGTAATACAGGCCGTGAGAAACTTCGGAAAGAACTCTCCAACCTGTAAAAAAACAGCAAAAAGACAAAGTAATGCTCAAAGCACATCCTGAGATCACCCTCTAAATGTCATCTGATAATATACCCACGCATACAAACATGTAATCAGTTTCTGCACATTTAAATGCATGCAAGCATTGGAAGAAGTAAAAGAGAGGACTATGACCTGCGCATGACAAGTTTGATTAGTGGTTGTGGGCGCCTTATCTTTGAAGATTTATCTTTGGAGGCTTTTGGCGGAACTGCATCTTTTTCTTCAGAACTCAAGTCCTTTACAGAAGGTGAATCTGGAAGCTTGAGAATTTCTCTACTCAAACGATACCAGCCAGCAGCTCTTTCCTCACTCCTATATTGAGCGAGAAAGGGCAGAATCAAAAGTATAAAATTAAAAAAAAAAACAAAATACACATTTATCATCTAAAGTAGAGTTAATCATCAGCAGTGGCAATTTTTGAAAACTGCAAATGTATTCATGTCTACCTCTCCATATGATCAAATTTACCCAGTACACAGAGTATAGCCTCAAAACAAACTCTTTCACTGGGATCCAACAGAAGTTGATAGAGAACAGAATTAAACTGAGACTTGACATCTGGACGTTCTGCGCTCACAAAAAATTAAACCACATTTGAGTTTTATCTGAAATCACACTCATGTTTCTCTGAACATTGTGACACTTATCTAAAACTGCAGAACAAAGGTATGAATTTAAAATATCCAAAATAAGTACCGTCTAATGCTCGAGCTCTGGATACTGTATGGCACAACTTAGCAAGTGCAATTCTAGCGAGGACGTCATGCAAATGGAGAACATCCTGCAGGGCCCCTGATTTATAGAAATTCTGATAAAGATAATGATAAAAGGAAATTCAATACGGATTTCACGCAAAAGGACAGAAGCTATGGAATGTTGGCCATACCACCAGGTTGCACGTGCTTTCCTGCAAGCACCAAAACATAAAGATGAAAATATAATCTAAAATCTACAACTGAAGCAAAGAAAAACAATTAAATGCCAATAGTGTATCCTAGCCTAGGACAAGTTCTGTAAATGTGAAAACATGTTACACATTGAGGGGCTTGTGGCAAATTTGGTCATTTATTTAAGAGTTTGCAATCATTTCGCTCGTAGATGAGTCTTGGTTGAACACAGACATTTGAATAAATTATAGAGAAAGTGAGAAGCTGATAGTAGACATGCCCAAGCATGGCCAGCCTCATGGATCCTGTTTGGCGGTCCACATGAAACATGGCTGCTATAAGAAGGACCCATGCCTTGATGTCCCAACACATAAAAATCAAATTAAAAAGGTTAGTTGGGAAAGAAACTGTTTTCCCAGCAGAAGACTATCCTGTGTAGAAATGAAAGAGAAATGATTTTGATATTTATTTTGAACTCATAATCCATAAACATGCATCTTTAGATTAATCCAAATAAGATTCTAATCATGTACTGTCACACATCAAAACAAAGTAAACTTTTAGAAGATTCTATGAAAATTTAAAGTGTCACATTACCTAATGCCATGGCTACTGCATAGGGATCTTTTGTGGCCAACTCGGATAGAATTTCCAAAGAATGCCTCACTGCTACAGGATCAGAGAACAAAACACTGCAGTATATGAAATGACTTTCAGATTGGTGTCCGAAGATGCGAAAAACTAATATTCAATCACAAGAGCTATTACAAGATGATAGTCTGCCACGTAAAATACATGAATGACGGGGATTAAGCTAAATAATGAAGATAGCAGAAAGCTTCACCAATCTGAATCAGGATAAAGATGAACCAAATACCAGCAAATTTAATAGCCTAACAAGGTATAGGCACATCATCTAATATGCCAGCATTGCATGAATCTGCATAATTAAAGCATCAGCAAGAGGAAGTGAGCTAACCCTTGTACAGCACGGTGAAGAAATGCAGGATTTCCTGGATCTAAAGGGAGTCTTCTCAAAGCACTTAAGGCTGCATATTGCAAATTGCCCCGGATGATAGACTGATAAATTACCATCCACATGAAGGTAAGAAAAGACCAATCAATCACTTAAATAGTCATGAAGACACCAAAGAGAATTAGAACATAGGAAAACACAGTCAACTTTATTAACGAGCAAGGAGACCTAACAAGTGAGACATTCAGTTCTCATCTAATTGCTCCTGCATTGTACAACTGAAAGCGAGACATTAATTTCTTACCTAATGACTTCTTCTAGGATAATTGTTATGAGTTACAATGAGAAGATAAAATAAAATAGGTTGGGGGAGTATGAAGATCTCTTTCATCTTTGTTAAAAACCATGTCGACAAGAAAAAAATATAATGTGCTAAGATAAGATTACCTCCTTATCACCTCCCTTTGTTCCAAATATGCCCTTCTTACGCTTCTGTGGTTCAGCAACCTGGCAGTCAAAATGTTTGCGTTAATATGCAGAAATTAATGTTTTACAATAAATTCCATGATACTTATTGGAAAGATAACAGAACTAAGCTCATTTAATATCAGCAAATAGTTGTTCCAGCAAAAGAAATCATGTTGATTGCGATAATTCATTTCATTTTAACTGTTGGGAAAAAAAATAATGAGTACAAAAGTATCAAATAACAGCCACCTTGCAAAACAATGTTAGATAGTATTCAATTAAATCAGCCCCTGGTTTACTCTTAATCATCATTCCAATGTCGCCGTCCACTAGGTTTGAATAAGATTTTATCGACGTCAACACAGAAACTCTTTAACCAGAAAAGTAAATTGAATCGCAGATGGTTTCAAAGGTACGAATCAAGAAACAGAGGAGTAGAAATGATCTATTCTTGAGACATATGAATAAATTACCACCACTTTAATGTGATAAAACAGAATTAACTATGCCAGTAAGAAGATTTACAGAACAGCCTACTCAAGCATAATGAAATAGTATGATAATCTGCAATAAGGATGTTATAAAACAGATCCAAATCAGAAATGATACAGACAGGAAACTGAATACGCTATACAGAAAAGAAAAGAAAAACGTAAATTATGACATAAGTAGCAATATACATATACAATCTTACTAGATAGGAAACAATTTATTACTGAACAAACCTTATCCAGAATGCTGAATACGATCTCGTACAACTTCGACAAAATTTCTAAGTTGCTAGAAGGTGCATATGTAAGAGCCTTTAACGCTTGCAGTCTCCGTGGATGAACTTCAAGAGAAAATAAACAAAAGCAATTAGCAATCTTCAGCTTTAGATAAAAGGCCTACATGAAACTTGAAGATCTGAAAAACAAAGTATGTGATCTCATAATTCTTTCCATTGTGGATATTTTAATACTTTCGCAGTTTTCTATCGAAATCTGATGTCATCATAAGTAAACAAAAAAAAAAAATTGAACATAAGGTAGAAAAATAACGATTCATCAAACATGTAAATAGGGCTCATTACTCACATTCCACTTCTTCATTTAAAGCCTCTGAACTTAACCGATCTACTACTCGAGGAACAACATCAGCTCTCGTCACACCTCCACCTGCATCTATGTCGGCCAAAGCGTCCCAATTTGGAGTCGGTATCCCACCACCTGGGTTTAAGCCTTGTGAACCAGAATCTGATAAAATTCTTGCCAAGTAGTAATAAACATAACGCAGTACGGTCCTATCCTCACACTGCTGGTCAAGCTAGAGTTTATGAAACAGAAAGAAAAATCAGTCACTTTCCAATAGAAGAAGAAAAATGATCAGTATAGGCAACTTGAAATACTGATCTGAGTTTGAGCTACATTATTTGACTAGCTCAACTTGTCTACAAACCCCAACCAGAAATTCATATAAAACTAAAAACCCTGCTTCCAATGCAATTCCAAATATCCATATTTAACTATAGCCGTTGTGTTAGTTCTATCAACAAGTTCAGAATTCAGAAGAAGATTGCTATGGAAAAGAATACCATCAAGAGTGACGGGGCCAAAGACGGGTCAACAGAGTTGTATACAGCGAGCTTTGGAAATACATGGTGCACCAATTGCCTCTGTGAACTTTTCTACATATATACACCAAGAAAGAAGAAATCATTATAAAAATAATCGATCTGAAAGCAAGAAAGAGATGCATTATTAAATAAAGATGAATTAGAAACGGCTAAATACTTGATCAGACGAGGCTGCTAGCTCATGAATACTCCTCGCGAGTTGAGCATAAGACACGGGCTGCTGTTAACCGGATAAAAAAGAATCATTAAAACATGTGATCGATCACAGTGTACAAGCTCAGTAGCAAAAGAAACCGAGTCTGACCACAACTGTAAACTTGTAAAATCTTTATAAAACTCAGAATCACTGAACAAAGTAGATCGAGTAAGAGAACAATTGTAAAATTCAATTCACGTGCCCAGCGTTTTGATTTCATTAAAACAGGAATATATCGGCTTGTTAGACCTCTAAAATTTGGGAAGCCACCACTAACAGAAAGTACAAACGCAAACACCCCAAATACTACCTTCTTCCTCTGCTTCTGAGGCATAATGTTGGCTCGGACAGGGTTAAAAGCTGCCTTTGCAGCAGAGATAGTGTCACTCTGGATCTGCATCAGAGTCCCCTTCTTCGACCTCCGCTCCACCGTCATCGGCACCGGTGGCCCCGGCGCCATTATATTTGCCCCCGAATCAATGGGCGGCGCGGCCGTAGTCGACGACGCTGAGGGAGGCTTCGACGACGAACCGTCCGACGTTATCAGATCCATGAGCGTCGTTCCCGACGACTCCTGCAAAATCAGAAACAAATAATCACACCTAACATTAGAACGATGTAAAAAAAACAAATCAATTCCCGTTCCTGATTCAGCTGTTTGATAATAATAATTGAGAAAATCGAAGAGAAAAGGAGAGATCCCAAATATTACCGCCATTCTTCAATGGCTTCGAGGAATTGAAAAAACCTCCGTAGGTGAGCAGATGAAAGTGATCGAATTGTTGTTCGAGTGACCTCTCTCTCTCTCTCTTCTCCCTCTTTCTCTCTCTAGCTTTTTTGAACTTTGAAGAAGTGGAAAATTTAACGATGATGTGGTAAAACTGTAGAAGAAAAGTAGTAATGTACTAATTTTCACGTTTCATTAAATTAGGGAAGTCCTGAAACTACTACACACCCATATTCTCAATTCCCAATAGTAAGCAAATATTTCATATCTGACTAGGAAATCATAATCTAAAGCTTCATTTAACTATATATTGAAGAATTTGTCAAAAAAAGACAAAAACTACATAGTGAAGAAAAAACATTTTTACCATTCCACATACATAAGTATATATATTTTGAAGTAGAAGGGTAAATAAGTTGAGTTCAATGAGTATGATTAACTAGCCCGATGACATTGAGCTCGATCTCATCAAATTTATTAATCTCATCGCGTATTCGAGCCCCTTGAATCTCATATCTTTGAGTTTATTATTTAGTTTTTCTAAACTTATTTCATTAATTTTCGTGACTCGCTTGATTTTCGTATCATTGTTTGATTAGTTGGATATAAGGTTGATAACGATCAGATAGCAATACAGTCCAACGACGAATAAGTAATTAAAGCTTACAAGAACGGCAATGTCCTGAAGCTATATATATATAGTTGATCAACAACATAGATAGAACTAAAAGAGGGTTTCACTTTAAATTTAACACAAGAGATACATAAATACACATCAAATCTCCTCTACTACCACTATTCCATCATCTTCAATTAATCCACAATTTTTTCCCCCCGAAAAAGAAAAAAAAAACACGAAACAAGCAGTTACCATAAACTTTCTCCTCCCTTCTTTTTTTTTCTTTGCTATCTGAAGAAAGAAATTAAGCCTGATAGATACATACACAACACTGCTGAAGCCAAAATCAGTTACTCCTTTTTTTGTTCTTTTCTTTTTTCTCGAAATTCCTTACTCTAATTTCTTATATGCCATCAATCGATCAATCTGTAGTCATGGGTTGACTGATGCAGCACCTGAAGCGAGCTTTCCTGACAGTTGTCAAGATCTCATTCTCAGCAGCCTCGAGCATTCTTACAACCTCGGTGAATGAGGGCCTGACATCTGGATTGCCGTCCCAGCAAAGTGTCATGATCTGGCCTAGGACAGGGAGGCAGTCGTTCGGGATTGTTGGCCGAACACCTTTGTTCACTACAGCAAATGCTGCCTGAACGGCAGTCATGTTCTGGAAAGGGAGCATACCTGTGATCAGTTCCCACAGCACAATCCCGAAGCTGTATACATCAACTTTTTGCGTGTAAGGCCTGTGCTGGATCATTTCCCTGCAATGGGCGCAAAAAGTTTTCCATGTGTGAGGTGAAAGTAATATCTGAACCCCTTGTTCAAATGTTTGTTCTAATTATAGAAACAAATCTTCAAGTGAATGAATTATGTAACTACACCAGTTCTTCATCTCTATGGGTTCGATTTGATGAATTAGTATTTTTACAATAGTAGCGTATAAAGTGAAATAATTCAACCTATAAATCTGATTTCTAAATTAGTCTTGTGTCATGACATATCTTAGAGCAACTCCAATGGAAGTATCAAATGGATTATCAAACCCATAAACCACCTTTTTTATATCCCCAAATTAAAAAATTCTACTCCAATGGGAGTATCAAAATGGGTAAGTATTTTGATATTATGTAACAATACATCCTGGAAATTGAGTTATCAAAAAAATAACCACCTAAACATCCAATCACAAAATGACACGTGGCAATTACAAATAAAACCACTAAAAAACTTCCAATTGATTATTAATTTTGATAACGAGTAGATAAACTGTAAATGGATATTAAAATATTATCTTAATTATCAAATGAGTATTTGATAATCCAATTTTGATGTTTAGCATTGGAGTTGCTCTAGCAAGAAGAACCATCTTAACTGTAAAACCTTGTAATAATCTCAAATTGGATCTTACTGAGAAGACTCTAGATCGAATAAGAACATTAATTCTGCTATTTTGAAATCTGGTATGGTCCGTATGGACATTCGGGAAGAGAAGACACAAAAATCAACTACTTGCACCGACATTCTTCACACTACCTATTTGTCTGGAAATACTTTTTTGGCTGAAAAAGGAGAGATCCTATTAAAGCAAGACTTTCCATTATTGGAATTGGACTAATCCTCAAACATAGGGAGCAAACAAGTCCAAAACTACGGGTAAACATTGCTACTTTAAAAAAAATATATGACATGAGGCATGTTTTTTTCTTTTCTTTCATGAGAAGCTTAAGCCGAGGCCCACTACATGGAAACATGAGTAAAATCCTAGAAGAAGAAAAATTGAAATCGGAGGAAAGCTTAGTGTCACTCATGAACATGCTACTTGTCCAGAAAAATATAAACTATAGTTTTTCAGCCATTCTTCAAGGAGCAAGTAGAATGATGAACTGTTTTAAGGATACCACACAACACACACCAATAATATATATATTCTATACCAAGCATATTTGATGCATGCGAAAATTGCCAGTACTGCACTGCACTTGAAAACTAATCAATACCACACTTAATTGTGTTCAGAAAAATAATGAGAACGAACTGACGCCACAAAAGAATACAATCATATTGCTCTTCCGTCTGGCATTTGCGGGAACAAAAACCAAAAACTTCAAATATTACAAAGCAACAACTGCATCATAGTATTTCTGAATTTGAGAAATTACCAGGCTCATTGGTCAGACCTGAGAGTTGAAAATTATAAGCATGAAAAGGCATATATAGATATGCAACGGAGATGCAAAACTTCTTTTTCTTTGTGGGTAAGGGAGTTTACTAAGAAGGATATTCTAAAGAACAACTACACATACCAGAGAATGAAAACATGCAGCTTACTATGTTCTTATTAGCAACAAAGAAAGAAAATGTGTACGGAACTATAAAATGATAATGCAAATCAAGGATATACTTAACACATTGGCTTCTTAGAACTTAAAGTTACCCTTAAAAAGAAAATAACTAAATCCCGTGGCCAAGAAAAAGAATTCCACGGTCCTTCAAAATTAGTGTACGTAAGAAAAGAGACCCATTCTATGCACGTGATGAGAGAGAAGGAAGAAGAATAAGATACTTACGGGGCCATCCAACGGTACGTGCCTGTCTCAGGCGTCATACCTTCAGTCTGCACTTCAATACGAGCCACACCGAAATCCGCAATTTTAATGGACTTATCTGCCGAAATTAAAAGATTATCCGACTTCAGATCTCGGTGAATCAAATTCAACCCATGCACATACTCCATTCCCCTCGCAACATCCAACGCCTGCTTAACAGCCAATTTCAAGGGCACAGAGCGGTTCTGCCTCTTTGTCAAGAACTGACGCACCGAACCCCCCTTCGCATACTCAGTGACAATACACCACACCATAGGTTTACGGCACGCCCCAATAAATCGAACAATATTCGGATGCCTCAGCCTTGCCAGCATCATCACCTCTTGTTGGAACTGCTGCTCCATTAACTGTGCCCTCTCTGCATCATTCTCCGGCTTCTCCAAAAGCTTAATAGCAACATCTTCACCGTTGTACGTGCCTTTGTAGAGTTTACCGAAAGCTCCCTGAGCAAAAGCGGGGCCCATGTTAAGCTTCCTCAGGTCAATGGTCCACTCATCATAATTACCAAGTCCCTCCGTCGGATATCGAGGGTCCATCAAAGCTTGAGCAAGGGCATCATCACTCAGCCCCTGAGCCACTCTGCCATGATTGACACTAGCAGCTACAGAATAGTTTTTCACGCGCTTGAGGCCTTGGTGCCCTAAGATGCGAGTGTGTGAGTCATTCGATCCGACACTGCTGTTGTCCAACGACATGGCAACAGAGCCTCCACCATTGCTCATCTGCAAGCTCCCGTAACTATCGACGGACATGTTTGACCCCTCGTTGAGTTTGCGGTAAAAGTTTTGAGAGAAGTCGAAATTGTCATGGCTACTGTTTAGGTCTATGATTCCAGTGAATTTTGGAGCCTCCAACATTTTCTTGTTTTCAATCGAGAAAGTAACCACAGCACAGGACCTTGAGAAATTATTCTATACCTTCTGCATCGGCATTTCAAAGCTCAACCTCTGTATCCAAACTCCTATAAGAAAGCACGACACAAAAAATGTTAACTAACACTGAGGTTTCCACTACACATTTTCCTAATACAACTGTTACATGTCGACGAAGGAGCTGCACAATTAACATCCCCAACATCAAACAAATCAAGCATGACTTGTAATCTTTTCATGGAGAAAGTTTAAGGGCTGTCCTCTAAAGTACATTTGCATTCAATATAAAAAAATAGATTTGCATAAAACGTCTGCCAACATATTCTACACAACGTTACCCAGCCATCATAAACCTAATCAGACTTACTGAGCTTGAAATGAAATTTCCATGGAGACAAGTTGAAAGTGAAACGATCCAGTCCTTAATCGCTTCAGTTGACTGTAATCATAGTCAACACAAGTCGTTTCACCATCAAAACCTTCATATGCCAAACCATTTTCACAATCACAACACACACACACACACA